AAGAATGTCAAAGAGGATGCTGCATGAGAACCAGGATGGCAAAAGAAGTATAGGGCGCCCTCGGATCAGATGGCTGGAGGATGTGGAGGAAAGTCTGAGGCGGCTGGGCGTTCAAAGATGGAGCGAAGTATCACAAGGCCGTGGATTGGTGGAGATTGGTTGGCTGCAGTAGAGGAGGCCCAGGTTTTTACAGGACCGTAGCGCTATAATAATAATAAGGTTTAGTTCCATTCGCTGTAAATTTCTTTATCGAAAATAACATGACTAATAGCCGTCTAAAAACATTCTGTATTGCTTTAAAAAACTTCATATTTAAAAAAATATGCGTTAAGATTGATCTGGCAGAGTTGGGTTTAAACGGCGCCCGGTGGAGGAAAGGATGTGGACAACGAATGGCGGTATCGGCATCGAACCTTCTGGTTCGCTAAGCCTTATTATTATTATTTAAGCCAGATACTGGATGCGACCAGACAACTCTACTCGTCTATGTTGATGAAGCATAAAGGGAAAAATAATACGCCTGAGTCTAGCTCCCATTGTACCAGTCAAGCAAGCAGAGTTTTCACTGTGATTTGACATTATTTATTGAATAAACTTATTTTCAAAGTAGCTCAATTAGATAATTTGCACAGCATCAAGCTCGACAGGATATAGTAATCATTCATAACTTGAACCAGGTGCGGTGGATGATATTTAGAACAACCCAACTAACATGCTGATCACTTGCATGCAGCAGATGGAATACCAATGGAAGAGTTGCACCCATCTTGTGCAATCGTCGAAGGCAGTAATCACTGACCCTCCAGCGGAAACCAGGACAAGAACGCAAATGGTTAACATAGCGGTTTTGAACTTTTTTATTTATTTATTTTTTCTTAACACTATGGAATGTGATGTTTAGAAGAGGAGGTAGACCGATTATTAAATATATGACCTCTTTTACACAAAGAGAAGTGAAAGTAAAAATTACAGACGGTAAAAAATATTATTTAAAACAATTAATTACAAATTGTTTTCCACAGCCGTCTAATGTATTATATTTATGCTTTTTCTTGCCACTAACCATTTCTTTTCACGACTGTATATTTTAATTATGTATTTCGTTACAATAAATAATTAAGTGTCACGAAATATTTTTAGTCTGACAAGAGCGCCACTGATACAGATGGCTGCTATATTTATTTATATTTATTTGTAGGTATTTTTATTTGTTGGAGCATTGGTATATATTTATACTTGAATTTTTGTATTAGTTTGGCTCTTTTCCATCACAACTTCCTGAAAAAACATTCTACGAACTCTAAGAGCTCCAAATCCATTCCTGTTGTCCAAGGCCTGGATCGGCATACATGATTTGTATTTAATATGATTTTTAACGATACTTACGTAACAACCTATAGAATATTGTCAAATAGTAGAAAATAAAAGAAAGAATAAATTTTTGGAGGGATAAATTGTTAAAACTATCCATATCAACAAAACTATAGTCAGTATCTTGCAGTTGATATGGATAGTTTTAACAATTTATCCCTCCAAAAATTTATTCTTTCTTTTATTTTCCACTATTTGACGATATTCTATAGGTTGTTAGGTAAGTATCGTTAAAAATCATATTAAATACAAATCATGTATGCCGATCCAGGCCTTGGACAACAGGAATGGATTTGGAGCTCTTAGAGTTCGTAGAATGTTTTTTCAGGAAGTTGTGATGGAAAAGAGCCGACACTAATACAAAAATTCAAGTATAAATATATACCAATGTATATATTTCATGTATCTCTTATCTCTTCGACATACATACACGTTTCATAGTAGATTAGTTAATCAGTAGGAGTAGTAGGAGATGAGACAAAAAATTGATAAAATACCTTTTTTATTCTGACCTACATTGTTATTTAAGTGTAGTTACTAGCATCACCTTAAATACGCTATTTCTGTTTCTTGCGAAGTTTAATTTTTGAGCTAGAGTTGGACTGGTCATACACACGAAAATTATCACGATCGCAATACTTTCTCTTAATATATATTTCATACATAGGTAAGTGAAAGGTTGTCAAGATGAGAACTGAAAGGATTGATACTGTTTTAATTGTGAATTATTTGAAAAATATAGCATGATAAATTCCGAATCTGTATCTCTTTTTCTTGAGGTCATCTGCCATTTAATTACTCTCTTAACCTTCCAGTAATAACAAGTCAATTAAAAATAAACTGTGTCCCAGACTACTTTCTTGTTTGTGAGGCAGGTAAAAGTTTTCGCATTAGGATGGAAGTTAGGGGGTGGGGCGCTAAAGACTAAAAAAAAAAAGTAATAAACTTTTCAATAGGACCAACTTGCCCCTTTTGAACTATTAAAATTTAATCGACTTGAAGGTTTCCTTTCGCCTTAACTTAAAACAACAATAAGAAAAAGAAAAAAACTTGGCTTGTTTAGAAAATATTATAAGTGGTTCTTAAATTGATCGTAATCCGTAAGAAAAATGCTACTAGATTGCCATAAAATACATTTGCTGAAAAATTAGGTTTGTAATTTTATTTTTCTATATATCGATTAGACGGGACAGCTATAAGTTATAATAATAGATAAAAAGTTTTATACATTTATAACCTAAAATACCACATTATTGATTAACAAACAATATTATTGTTTTTAAGGAAAAATATAAATGGTGATATTTGAAAAACAGGTAATTGTTCATTTAGAGATATCTTAAAAGATCAATATAGATTTATTTTAAAAAACTTTTAATTTAGACAAATATATGCAAAACATTTCACAGATATGCTGAGGATGGTTAGAGGCGAAACATATATGTAAATAAAAATAAAAATATAATAATATAATAAAACAATTGTGGAGAGGAAGATCAAAGTCCTGTTTATCTATTATTACAGATTTGTAATGTGTATTGTGTATTAAATAAATAGTAAATGCTCAAAACTCCATCAATAAAAATTAATACTTATCTAATTCAGAAACTGCTAATCGGTCATAAATGTTTACCTGAAACAATAAAACAACATTATTAGAATTTTCAGTATTACAATGTTTATGTCCCTTAGAGTATAAACCTGTAAGATATTTTCATTTTTTAAAATATTTTATAGCAGAACAAAATATCGATTTCTGGACAAACGAAATTTTGGTCAGAAAATAAATGGTATATTCCACTGGGCTTTTGGAGAACTCTTAAAAAATAATTTCTAATTACAATGCCTGCTTATATTAATTTATTTTTTTTATTTCTGTTAGACGTAACGAAATTTATTTATAAAGTCGACCACGATATGGAAGATTTGTGCTACCGTACACTGAATGGTAAAAATTCATTTTGTTTTCTTTCTTCCAATTTTTAAAACGATGGTCCTTCGTTAGTGATGGATTCTTGTCTTGGAGAGGTGGTAACGTTCTTATCAATCAAATTATTTCACTGGCAAGGTTACGGAAGATGAGTCACGGAGATTCGGTGATACTAGGTCAAAAAAATATAAGACCATGTGCGAGGGTTCTTGCTAATGTGCCGAGAAAAAAAATTATAAATGTTTATTGTTTTTTTTATGTTACTGTTTTCTGACTTCGGATGAATTTTAAGTTATTATATGAATCTTTCAGTTTGGCAGAATGACTAACTCTAATTTCAAAATTTTTGACTGAAGTCATTTTAGTGATATTTGTAGTTGAAATTTTGTAATATCTGTACAGGCTGTGAGTAAGTTTTTTCAGAAGTAGTTGATTGCAGTGTTGATTGGCTGTTTTGATGTTATAGACGCAAAAAAATCTACATAAAAATAATAAAAACCAACACTGCAATGTTGAAATATAGAACAGCGAATAAACGTATGAATTTTCCCACTGGAAATATTACTAAAAATAATAATCAAAATTGTTGAAACTAAAGTTAGACATTATAGAAGCTCATATATCAATCGATTTGTTATTTTGTGTAAAATAAAAAAAAAACATTATTTATTGTATTGAACGAATTCTAATATATATAATAAATTTTAAAACCAAAAGACACTTCCAGTAAAGTGGACTAAGTAATTTTTTCTTAAAATACCGATTGATTGTTTTTAGCGTCCATTATGGATCCAAATCCAAATATGGATATGTTTTTGAAATCAAGAAATATAAATTTTTGGACTTAATTTTATTGGAGTATTTTTTTTTGTCATACTGTTTACTAAAATATAACTTCTCAGGATTGCCCCTTAAGTCAACCTTACTACAACAGTTGGAAAGTTAAATTATTTCTCTTCAAAACCATGTTAATAACTTTCAGGTTTTAAGCCTTTATAAAAATGAAGAAGAACTCCACAAACGCCATATCTCCAAGTCTAATTTATTTGCGGATGTCTGGTTAGCGCGATTTTGTGAATTTTATAGAATCCTAAATTTACGTTAATTTTCGTGTGGATAGGTGAAGCCAGATGTTGAAGTTATCACAATTTTTGTGATTTTCGAACAAAAATTGAAAGACATGCGCAGGCAAAAAGTTTAATAATATTTTTTTATTGCAATGGAAATTCGTATTTAAGATCTTTCGAGATTTGAAATACATATACCAACTTTTTCTTCTTTAAAAAAAATATTTAAACCAAATTAGGTTGTAGATTGCGATAAAAGTAAGCCACTCACGAAGTTTTAGACGTGTGTTTGTTTCGATGTCTAGGAGCAAAACATCCAGGTCATCAGCGCCCGATCAACTAAATAAGTAATTAGATAATGTGTGTTAATCATTTGATTAAAACGGGTTCCTATATATATTTTACACTGACAGTGTGTAGTGGACTCGACGCAATATTATGTCAGGCGCATAACATAACATAGCTATTGTTATTATAATGTAGGCTCAGGAAGACCATTCTTCAGATGTTCGTTCTCATAATGTACTCAAAGCCACCAATAAGATGTTTCTGAGACCAATTTCTTACAACCCTAGAAGGCAGTGAGTAATTACCTCCATTAAATCCGTTCCAAAAGGAGCAATAAGGGCATTATGTTAATGCAGGAGATGCAGTTCTTGTGTTTTTGCAGCCATGCACCACCGGTTGCATTCTTCAGTGCAGCAGGTCCTCAAGGGCGACAGGGCTTTTCCTTTTTCCTTCTCCGGTTCTTGGCCAATGGGAGGACGAAGATCCTCTGCCGGTCCGGTATATATGTCCTCTGTCACCTTAGGTCTGCATCAGGTACATCCTCGACAAGGAACGCACCAGCAACAGCAATGGCATCATTCAGAGTTTTCGTAAGTCTTTCAGTTTATCCACAACTAAATTGTTTTGTTAAAGCAGTTCCTTAAACTTTTCATTTATTTTTTGTTAATAATAGGCTTTTTAAAATCATTGATCTTAATTTTAGATAAAAAATTAATTATGGGGAGATTCTTTTACTAGTCTTCTTCCATAAGTCTTATTTTTGAACATGTACAGTTACATTTATTGATATACTTAAAAAGGTATATAAATACATTGCCTGGATAAAACACGAGAATTCAAATTTTTAGAAGTAATGATTTCTGATCAATTTTTTTTCAAATATAATTAAGAGACTTTTATCCTAACAAAGATGCTAATAACTTTTTGGACAAGGTTTGTCGATAAATTTAAACAACTATATAAAGAGTATAAGCAGTCCCTAGTCCACAAAATGCAGAGTTAATAATATTGCTTTCATAAGAAGTTGAGCGAAATGATTAATATTAAACGTTGGTAAATGATTCAATCATTTTATTTATCATTAATAATATTATTGTTATTTAATATAAGGAAAATTTAGTTTTTACTATAACGAAATCCGTTTAATAATATAAATCTCCATAGTGACAAAAATAAATAATTAACACAACCAATTTTTTTCAATAAATCGAAAACGTTGGTGTAAAAACAAAGCTATATTTCATAATATATTTTTTGATTGAGGCAAACACCATGAAATATAATTTGCTTTTGTGTATTACTGATGCCACTATACGCTAAACCACAGACAAAATGTATAAAATATTTAAAATTTTCACAATTATTAAATACCAATTTTAACAAAACTATAAGCACCATATGATACTTTGTAATTTAAACATTAATTAATTACAATTAATGTTTAAATTACAACATCAAATGCTAAAAAAATAGTTATCAATTTTTTTTCCTGAAATTACCTAAAGTATTGAAATGAATATGTTAATCGAACAAGGTTTTTAATGTCGTAATTAATTTTCACACTTCATATTGTATAATAGTTAATTAAAACCGATAAAATCGCTTATAATTATTATAAACAATTAAAAACTTAAATTATTAGGAAAGCCTGTGGAAAAGGTTTTTGCCATTGGATTTAGTGTTGTCCAAATGCGAGACCAAGACTAGTTGTGGTCTTGGTCTTGGTCTTGAGCGAGAGTCCGCCAACAGTCTTGTAGTTACGTATTAGTCTATTACTATAATGATATTACTGTAATTTTTCAGATAGGGAAAATCTAACTATGCCCGAATGAAAAATTGGAAGAGTTGAATGCAAAACAATATTGGTTATACAAATTCTTTACTTTCCTAAAACTGCCAAATAATAAATAAAATTGCCAAGTATTAGTAAATAATTTGACTTAATTTTTATTCAGAAAAACGATTTTTTTTTTTAAAGTCTTGGTCTTGGTCTTGCAAAGTGCGATTGGATTGAAGAAGTGTCTGTCAGATGTGATTCCTTATAGATTCGATTTCCCTTGCTGATTACATTTCAGTACATTTTAATGCCAGTAGTTTATAATTTCTTTTCATCAGACAGAGCTAGGGCTAATATTTCTTTTAGGCCCGTACACAAATATTACTGATCATATCGATAGATTTTATAATTTCAATAGGATGGGTAATGATATACCAAAAGTCAAATTCCTTTAAAATGTAACAAAATCATTAATTAAACAATTAAAAAACATTCTATGATATAAAATGTAAAACAGATGCACAATAAGAGATAAAATCGTTAATAATGATACAATGAATTTATAAATTAGTTAAAAATTCAAGTTACCATACAATTTTCTTCATTATTACAATTATCATTTTTCCAAAAAAATGTATTGAAAATTAATTTAAATAAAAGCTTTGTCGGTGATTTTTTTTAGAACCCACTCAAATTTTTACAGACAGAGGTAATGAGATCTTCGCTTTACAATGATTATTCCTATTTAATTTTTAAGTAAAAATAATTGTTTCAGTTGTACTCGTAATAATAAAATCAAATCCTAATTAGAATTATACCCACTTCTTTTTAATGGATTTGTGTTGATTTTCTTTGGTTATCTTTTCTTTCTTCAGCCCTGATGAAGGGTAGCAACTTAGGTCGAAACGTTGGCACATAGTAATTTATTTGTTTCTCATTTTTATTTATGTTTCTCACTATGTCTACAACTCCCAAGTAACTTCTCATGCCTTAATGAAAAAACCTTTGTGTTCAGAGAATCGGTATCATATCGTTATGATTTGTAAGATGCTGTGTTTAGTGCATCTAAGATGAGTTTGCCTGTGGGGAAGGAAGCTCACGCAGCCTTTCAACACTCATAATTCATCTTCCCAAAACTCCCAGCCTATGTTTTTATGAATTTATATTTGTTGATAATTACGTTTTTTTGTCTGAGAGTGGATAGTTTTCCTCCGCCCAATTTACTTGACATAATAACAAAAATTGGTAAAAGAAATGAAAAAAAATATATAAAAGTTTCTACTTGTAGAAAAAAAATTGTAGTGCCTACAAATTGGGGGAGGGGAGATGTTTTGCCACTGCGCATCTTCTCAGACGGACCATCTAACATTATTTTTATTTTTCTCTTTATTTATTGAGTATTACAACGATCTGTCACATGGACATAAGTTATAGTGAGGTAGTTCGTCGCACTATATGTACAAAAAATATAAAAGTTTCTACTTGTAGAAAAAACATTGTAGTGCCTACAAATTGGCGGGGAAATGTTTTGCCACTGCGCATCTTCTCAGACGGACCATCTAACATTATTTTTATTTTTCTCTTTATTTATTGAGTATTACAACGATCTGTCACATGGACATAAGTTATAGTGAGGTAGTTCGTCGCACTATATGTACAAAAAATATAAAATAAATAGAAGCAAAATAACAATAAATAATAATCAAATTTATATACAATAAATAATAATCAAATTTATATACAATAAATAAAATAAAATAACCTTAAAAAAATAAAATTGAAACTAAGCAAAAAAAACACGTGCATACCTATATACAATCAGGCAAGGGAACTCCAGGAGAACCCTGCGCTACTCTCTCAACCGCATCACTGGTACTGGTACCAGTGGAGATTGATCGACAGCACTTTAGCCACATACACACATGTCTAGAATGAAGAATCTGGCCCTTGCCAGAACTCCAATATATCCAATTGGATTTATAGGGATGGGTGGTGCTTGATAGGGATTGTTCAAGAGGATTTGGATGATACGTAAGATTCTGATGAAATTTGTAGAATTTTTCTGGAATAAGGTCTAGGACAAATGGGATGTTGAGGTCATGATGTAGGGTTTTGTTGGTTACGTAGAAAGGAGCATCGATTGGATGCGCTTGATGTTAGAAAATTTTGCTGTCCCCCGCAGTCCTAGTCCGTAATTCCAAATAGGTTTCAGTATTGTCTTGTAGATCAGTAACTTGTTTTCGATGGAAAGTTTAGATTTTTTGTTTAGTAGTCGATATAGTTGGCCGTACCGTCGGTTTAGTTCCTGTCTTTTAATTCTAGTATGGGGGTTCCAGATTATTCGTCGGTCTAAGAGAAAGCCAAGTTACCGGACTGTATCTGAGAAGGGAAGGTGGATGGTATTAAAATAAACTGGTGGAGAGGATTTACGATAAAGGGTGAAGGTTATGTCTTTACATTTGTATTCGTTTATCTTAATGAGCCATTTCCTTCACCAGTGTTCAATCACGGAAAGGTAGATAACAAATATGGCTAATCAGTTTATTATAGAAGAAGAAAAACGAGAAGATTATTTTCGATTCGTTCTAAATTGGTACATTTTGTGTCCGCAGGTTGTCTTCGCAGTGGCAGCCATCTGCGCCGTTGCGGCCGCGGAGGAGAAGAAGGAAGGCATGATGATGATGAAGTACGCTGATGACGACGGTAGCTATTGGCCAGGCAAGTACGAGAGGTCCTTGGTGATGCCAGCCATCCACGGTGTTGTCCCAGGAGTGGTACCAGCCATGCACGCTGTGCACCCAGCAGTCTACCCTTACGGATACGCTCATCTCCCAGCAGCCACCAGGGCCTACGTTATCTAAACCGCAGGAATGAAAATGGCGTCTTTTATGGTTTACAATATGTCTTCTGTTCTGTATGAATAAAACGGGCTTTTTTCTTTATGAATAGTTTTTTCTCCACTTGCAGATCATTTAACCATAAGTTCATAACTTTAAAATCTTAAGCTAACGCATACACATATTTTATTTCCTCTTTATCTGTTAAGAAACCTGCAAGTAAAGGAATATAAGTGCATTTAAAAGACAAAATAAAGTTAAGAGCATATCTGTTGAGGGAAAGTAGTGATACTTTGCAAGATATACGTGTTGGGCCTAGTGTAGTCAAAATGCGAGACCGGGATGAGTCTTGGCTAGCAAACTCAGTCTCGGTCATGATCTTGGTCTTGCACAAGAGTCTCGCAACAGCCTTGCAATTACTTATTAGCTTATTACTATAGAGATATTACTGTATTTTTTTAAATAGGAGAAACCTGACTAAGTCCGAATGAAAAATTAGAGGAGTTAAATGCAAAAGTATATTGGTAATACCAATTATTAACGTATAGTAACTAAGATTGTGGAATATTAGTAACTGTTTACCTTAATTTTTATTTAAAACATTGATTTTTTTTACGAGTCCTGTGGTCTTGTTCTTGCAACAGTTAGACGGCATTGGTATTGGTTTTGCATAGTGCTAGACCAAGACCTATTTTGGGCAACACTAGTTGGGCCTATCCAGTACTTCTTTATAATGGCCAATCACTTAACCTCTAAACAAATAGTTTGGAGGTAAAGAGATAAAAGCAACAGCTGTCTGATTTAATTCAAATAATTAATAAATTATATTATAATTTTGTTTTCATATGTTTATTGAAAATATTACTACCTGTCTCAAAGGACATTTATAAAAGTGTTTAAAGATCACATTCACACTCTATGTACAATGATAATATATATATATATATATATATATATATATATATATACAATAAATAAGTATAAAATAACCTAAAAAATAAATAAATAAAAAATAATATGTACATACTTATATACACTATTTACAATCAGGAGAGAGAACTCCGAGTCAAACTTATCCCTCCAACTGTGGAGAGAAAAGCAAGACTCCAGGTTATCCCTGCACTTCTCTCTCAAACGCGTCACTGGGGCTAAACCCAGTGGAGGTTTAACGAGAGTGCAATAAATTATATTGAACGAAAAAGAAATAGTTTAACTTAAATATTCTAAATTAGTATTAATTAGTTGGTTATTCATTAAAAATAAGCTAATTATTGTTAATATATTCATTATTCAATAAAAATATTTAATAAAAATAAATGTATACAAAAATCAATTATTTAATAAATATATTTCAATTTCACCCTACAATCATAGAATCATGCATAGTTTTCGAAAACATAATCGATTTTAAGATCGCACTCTCATATATAGTTTTTTTTCGTTATTAGAGTCCATTATAATGTTATCAAAGGCTATTATTATGAAAATACAATCGAGTTCATGACCACATGTTCACGTACTGATTTATTTAGAATATATTAGAATAGAAAAAACAACTTTGTTCAAACAAGGTTCCTTAAGCATAACAAAACCCTCCAACGATAGAAGGGAAAAATATTCATATTAAGATTCATTATTTCGTTGACGGAGGATCAGTTTTTGAAAATATTAACAACTTAAATTTCTAGACATGAATGTGTGTTTTTAAAATTGTTTGTATATTCATAGAGAGCATCTCAGATAATATGATAATTAATCTCAATATTGAAGGAATCCAAAAGATTTTATCCAATATGCGTTACTGATTACCCAAAATAATCAATGGCCACATTAATCATACAATAATTAAATAAATATTTTTTATTGAATAAAATGATTATCCTGATTCCATATATTTAAATATTCAATGTATTCTCCTCAAATTGACCAAAAGTAGAAGAATTAATCAAATAGAGATTTATACAATTGTATGTTGTAATTTTAAACGAACACTGAATTTAATACCCTCGCATTACCTTCGACTTCCCAGTGATGGAAATATATAGGGGCAAGGTAGATTTAGAAGAAAAAAAAATGAAGATAGAGGGGAGCTTCATCACTCTGATTGAAAGTAAAAAAATCAAGATTAAAACAGAATAGAGGATTTATAAAAAAAAAAAAAAACTTATCTGAGATACAGTAAAAGGAAATTTAACTAAAGATATTAAAGACAAACCTTCTATGAAACTTAGATTATGGAAAAAAAAAGTGATCCCTTATATTCAGTTCTCTGAGAAGTGTAAATAAAGCATTTTTTTTTTTAATCAACGATTTTTAATACCTACAGAGTCGAACCTAAAAGTTAAATTTATTCTGAAGTTTGATAGTATTTTTTTTCTCTCTGGTTTCCTGATAATTTAACTGAGATAATTAAAAAAAACAAAAATATTTATTTTATAAAAAAGTAAAATTATCCAGGGAATGTTGTATCTCAGTGATAGGGCGCTGAGCTTCCAATGCTCAAGGTCCCAGGTTCGAATCTCGCCTCAGTGGCAGAAACATCATTTACTCTGTTTCATTGGCCGTAGGGCAACCTTGGGATCGGGAGACGTTTCTGGGGCACACCCAGCCTGATTAAATATTAGCTTTTAAAATATAAATATACCCTACAGAGAGAATAAAAATAACCACGAATATAAAAATTGGTGGGCGGGGTGGCCGAATGGCGCCTAACGCGTGTGCACTGAACCGCAGTTGCCCGGGAACCTGATATATAACTCAGATGATATAAAAATAGTTACGAGTTCGCGTCCCGGTGCCGGAGGTCTTTTAAATCCCCGCTCACACACCCTGGCCCGGGAAAACCTCGTATAGCCTAGCCTTAACGGCAAAGAATGGGAGGACTTCCCTCTCCCCAAAAAAGCTATAAAAATAATAAAGATAAGCAACCTAATACAATCACCATCCAATACAAATAATGCTCACATTTGTGACATTAAAAGGTGCCTTCATGCATTTCACAAAATATTTTAAATACAAATATTTAAATGGTTATTTCTCTATACTAGTGTTTGCTGTCGGTAATAAAAAAAAGTTTGGCTTAGCGCTAATGTCACTGTTAAGTTAGGTAATTGTGTTAGTTAAATAATTAAATTTTGTGGTTTGTGAAATGTCTAAACGCACCTTACAATGAATCTATCCAAGAAAATTTTAAGAAGAACATTGTATTTAAATATGACCGTGTACCCAAGGAAGACGTTTAAGAGCCATCATGCATAACAGCTTTTTGAATAGAAATCATTTATATATATATATATATATAATTTTTGTTTATTATATTATTTCTGTTTAACTTAGTTATTAATGGAATTTTGCAGGGATGAATCATTGACTAAAAATTATTATACCGGAGCACGTACCTTGTAGAAAATCAAACTTGTATATTTAAAAACGAAAAATGATTAATTTTTTTAACAACGATGAAGGTTAACAAAAATATATTATTTTTTTAGTAGCTAAAATACAATATGCGAAATCAAGTCTCATTACGATGGATATGGTATTGTAAAATAGCTACTCGATTCCACGATAGGATACTGAATGGAAATTACATCACCGGTGGTCCTAACCATATTCAGCTGAGAGTGAGTCAATCCGAATTCAAAATAATTCGATCAGCTACCGAATCCGAAACAGGCTAGTGGTCTTTCCTCTAACCTCACTTGAACGTTCTGTCCAAAATTAATACTTTTGTGGAACCCGATGAAAAAGGACTCTTTTTATCCAATTTGATTACAGAGATGATTCTATAAAACAATAATGATTCTATAACAACGTTATTTGTTATAGAAGTGAAACAGACCTGTTATCTCATTTACTTACTCGATGCTCGATCGAGACTTAAATATTAATATTAATCGATACTTAAATACATTTTTCGCTAGTGTTTAAGAGAAGAAGAAACATCAAATTGACTGAAAGGAGTCCTTTTTCATTGAGTTTTATAAAAGCATTACCTTTTGACGGAACGTTCAAGTGGATTTAGACAAACGACTCTGGATTGCCGTTAGTTTTCATTCTTTTGTGATGGATTAAACAACGAGATATTTATATATTTAATGGCTCTTATCTACTATAAACATACCAGTGATTTATTTCACTTTAGTGATTTCACAATCCCTCATACATATGACTAGAAAGAAAAATCAAACCTTAAAAATAATGCAAAGTAACGTTATAATTTTTTTTTCTTACGACTATTGAGCTTTTGAGTTCCGCTCTGAGTCTCCTACCAGCCTAAAGGCTGTTATAGGCAACAGGTCGTTTAGTTCTATTGACGATTGACGATATCCAGAGAACACGTGGTTTACAATAACTGGACACGGTTACAAACCATTTCCTCTTTATCAGAAACTTTCCTGAAGGCAACTTGCAGAAATCTCCATATTTTTTTTTTTTTTTTTATAGGATTGGGCCTATACGATCCTAACGCCCAACCTGAAGAAACAAAAGCTATAGTTTAAGACACAGGGATCCCTCACCTCTCAGTGAATCTTTGTAGTGAATATTTTGAATCTTGTTTGTGTAGGGAAGGTACCGTCCCCGTACGGGAATCGAACCCGCGCCGTAGTGGTCTAAGCCGAGCTCCAAACTTTTTGGGCCGCGTCCGCTTGAGACCTCCACCCATATCCTTGGGTCATTTCTTGTGATTAAAAACAATCCTGTATTAATGACACTTCATCTGTGAAATGAGATTTCTACGAGAAAAAACCCAAGAAAGTAAATGTTGTAGTAACCCTTCTGTGTGGGTAATTTGATAAATTTTATATTTTTAAAGTTTTACCATGTAATCAAAGAAACTTTCGTGGGCCGGATAGAAGATGCTTGTGTGCCGGATCCTTGGTAATTTGGAAGAGACCCCTGGCCAAGCAATCGAGTTGCACCTGCACTTATTTATTTTAATTTATTATTAATTATTTTTATTTTTTGTAATCGAATCCCGCGAACGGAATTTTAACTCATGACCTAAAATTTGCATACGCCTTAACTCGCTCAACCATGTTCAGAGATCGTTTTTATACCACCGGTTCAGACCGACCTTATCCCAGATAATCATCTGGCGAAACTAAAGGCGGAAGTGAGCCAGAA